TTTAAATTTTTTAAATTAATTATTACCTTATAATTCGGCTATAATTCTATATATATATAATTAAAATAGCTAGTACTACACCGCGGCCTACTAGCCAAGGCTATCTCGCGATAAGCTATTTAAATATTAATAAGTTATACTTATTAACAGGGATTATAATTTCGCTTTATAGTTAAATAAAATTACAAGCATACAAGTATCGTGTAAGCGTAAAATCTAAAACAGTATTAGGCATAAGTTATACTTAGAAGTATTTTACTAGTTTCAATATTAATAGATTTTGAAAAACTATAAAAGTACAAAAATTACACGTGGAAATACTCTGTAAGTTCCGGTCCGATTCTGTTACACAGAAAAGGCCCAACAGATCATGAAGCCCAATACAGGGGCCTCGCCGATACAAGACTTATTGGTTACATAGCTAGAACACGTGCCCGGGTAAGAGCCCTAGGCCTGGGTGTTCTCTTCTTGTATATATAGCGGTTACTCTTCCTTTTATCCCTCTTAGCAACTCGAGACCTTTGAAACCCTTCGAGATTATTATTGAATTGAGCCCCTTTTTGCTCCAAGCTCTTAGATAAGCCCTTCTCACAGATTCTTGCCAGATCCTTCTCGCTCCGAGTCATTCCTGGAGTCCCGACCCGGCAGACCTAACAGTTCTATACCTGCTAATATTAGCTAAATTAAGGCCCTTAAATCAAGTATATTTGTGTCTTCGATACTAACCAGAATACGACTGTGTCTCGCAAGTCCCTAGGGTGCCTGTCGAAGAGGTTGGATAACTTACTTGTGGACTGGATGAATTGGGTGCCGAAGTAGCACTTCTATTATAAAGGCTCAGGCACGAATCGTGAGTTTGCCGAGAGCTCCAGTCTCTGCATTGTGGCGACTGCGAGTCCCTTATTCCTGGATGACTATGCGGTGATGGGATACCCATTTTATCGGCTGTGGAATTCCAGTACGTGGTTGAAGCTTGATACTCGAGTCCAGGAGTAGGTGATGGGGTTGAGCTTCTAGCGGTGTATCCGTCATTATACAAGTTATTGGATAAAGGCACTATGTTAGGGCTAGGAACACTTCCTGGTTGGCCTATGTTAATACCACTGAGATAGATTGCGAAAGTCCATTGGGCGACACATTCGATTCTACCGCGGAGCTTCGTAAACCCAACATCAGCGGTCTTGCCTCGTGACTCCCGTACGGGTGACCCATCAGTCCCAGGTTCGGTGGCGACACAGATGCTCCAATGCCATGCAAGGCACCATAAGATGAATGTATGGCTTGTAAGTTGTTAAAGTTGTCTGGAACTGCCCGCGTCCGAACCATTCTGTCGCGTTCATCAATTGTGACTCTCTTCATTTTGGCGCGTCTATTTCCTTTAGCAAGGTTCTTTTTCGGTATTCTCTGCTTACTAGGTTTCCTCACCTGTTTTGAAACCAGACTTGGACTTGTCGAGGGCTTAGCCCAGGAATCTCCCGAGACAGTCGTTCCCTAAGGGTGGCATCAGGATGGGGTTGTTTCGTAAACTCGCTCATCAAAAATCTGGTTTGTTGATGCGTGAGCCTGTTAAAAATCAGCATTCTATAATACGCTATAAGCCTTTGAATTGTAGGCTCCTATTGTCTTAGTCCTTGGCTATACCTGAATCGTTTCATTTTGCGACATGCCGTAATACGCTCCGCCTCTGTTTGGTGGTAGAAATGCGAAACTCGATCAGAGTCATCGGCATCGTCATTGTACACGTCGAATTCGGTGTCCTGGCTTGAGCATCGCTCTTTATCTTCTCTGTCAAATTTGGTCAACTCAGCTCCAGGAGTCTGGTCTCCTTGAGATCTGTAGAAGTTGCTTGCTTCCGTCAGTCGGGGGTAAGGAGATATGTCTGCTCCCAAGCTGTCTCGGTTGATGGTGCCGGATGGCTTTGAACAGGTACTTGTGGTGCCATAAAAAGAGGATGTCGGTCTGCCCAGCTGTGGGTTTGAAGTTCCTAAGCTTCTCACTGCTTCGTGAGCAATACTTTCTATTTTTAAGTCCTGGCTTTGGTATTGGTGCCTCATAGACGTTGTTGACTCGGTCCTATGCCTGTCCAGGTTATTTCTCGTGTCCAAAGATGGGCGTTGATAAGGGTTGGTCTCGAGACGAGAATAAGCATATTGTCCTTGCCATTCTGGCTCTAATGGCGATGGCAGGCTCTGTTTTTCAGACATGCGTGGACTCTGGGGGCGGCTTATTGGCCGGTTATATTGAAAGCGAGTCCAGTGACTGTACTCTGTTTTGTCACAGAGCCTGGCGATGAGCATCGAGGGAGTTTGGCTTTTAGATTGATCTAAAGTCTCTGCGGAGTTGTAGAGTTGAGCTGCCAAAATGACAGAAGCAGGCTCCTGGGCCAGATACTTCGTCTCTGTCTCACAACCTTGCGGACTTGGTGTGGACCGAATGTCGATAGTGAGGTAGAGAAGGAAGAGGAACAAAAGAAGAGGTGATTCTATCTGAAGAAGTGGGGGAAAGCGTTACTTCCCGCAACGGCCAAAATAAATACTAATATTCTGGAATTGTGGTCAAGGAGAGGAATATAAAAGGAAGAGAAGTGCAAGATGACAGTGGTGCGCTCGGTCTCTCAGAAATAGTGCCCATTCTTCGAGTCGCAGGTGTACCCAGAACCAAGCAAGATACCCGTATCAGTAACCCAGCCTGGATGTTGACAGCAATGGAAATCACAGGTGGGTAAAGCGGACTCCTTGCAGCAATGCGACTCAAGGCGTGAATCAGGGATGCTAGGGGATGCTGACTATGAACTAAAATCTTGTTTCTAACATTGTGAGGCGGTTATGACAGGCAGCCTTAGGCTCTCTCGGCTCCAGTTGGCACCAAGGACAATTCCAAGCATTCGCTCTCTGTCGTGGTCACTTGTCGTGTGCTATGCGTTCTGTCCTGCGAGGACTCGAGTCTTTGGGGTGGTTCAGCTGCGTTCAGGTGGCGTGAAAGGGATCGACTCGGACTATTAAGGAATGTTCGAGCAAAGACAAGCAATGCCGGATCTAAATTTCACGGGCGACTAGCCAAAAGGTAAATATGAATGAAGAGCTGTGGGGGGTGAGGTAGTACCTTATGAAGGAGTGGTCAGGAAGACGTGGTGGGACCGTTGACGTCCATGTCCACGCATGTACAGAGCTGGCTTACGCACGGAGCGACAGCCGTTCTCGACCAGTTGGAGTTCAACCGATTATTCAAGTACGGCAAGCGATACATTGCCCTATACCTCGTTCGTACGTAGTGTGGACACGTGGTTTGATTCAATGTTATTTACTCCGTATGCCTGGCTTTGGACTGGCCTATCTGGCAAGCCAAGATCCGAGATTGATTATACGCAAATGAGTTTGCAGCTTCTCCGATGTCACGGTGAAGGGTGCGGAAGAATCCTAAACTGAGAAACGGGTTCAAGATGCCTCCCCTTGGTAGCGCAAAACGGTTGGGGCGCATCTCGGTTTCGTATCGGCGACAAATCCCCAGTTTCACTCGGTTGCGCACGAGTTGAAAGGAGCCCCGTCTCTCGGCTAGGTGCAGTATGTACAAGGCAATTCCCAAGATCGGATGGGCATGTCAACACGGTACAGAACAACTAGTATTACATGGTCAGTGTGGTCCGCATGCGACGCTAACTGGGATTCGCACACAAGGGCAGACATATCTGGTCCGAATACGTACATGGGGACGGCCGAGCCTATCCCCATGTCGAAATGCCAAGGGCTCCTGGCAAGCAGAGAAGCCAACATAGGCCTGCCAGTCAAGAGATATGTACATCTCGGTACACGAGTGAGGCGGATATGGCGTCGACGGCTAGAAGCTTGTTGGCCGGTTGTTGGAAGGCGGGCCAAAGGGCCAATGACAGCGGGTGTGAGGGCGTGATCGAGGCGTGATGAAAACGTGCAAAGATGTGATAGAGACGGTCGAGGGCGTGTGAAACTAGTCACAATGTGGGGTCTATGCCGTTCCATGCCACCGCATGGTCAATCTCCTGGCGTATCGTGCAATGTGTGCCACATGATGGGTGGTGTTTTGCTATGACCGAAGAGCAACAGAGAGGGCCGTGTGCAAAGAAGCCCAGCCCCTCATCACCTGCTCCGTCTCGATATGTGACCCAGTTGTGCAGTCGTTGTGCAGCTGTTATGCCAGCCGCTATGCCAGCACCTGTTATGCAATTATCTCGTGCCACCTTCAATCCAACCCATCACATAGTATTTATCAAAATACCAACCATTTTTGTCATAATAGTCTATATTAAAAAGAGATAAATTAACTGCACCACGGTCTCCTTACACATGGCTGCACAGCAAGGGTCTGAAATCGTGAACGTATAGGGGCAAGTGTGCCCGCCCCCGGCGTACATGTACGGGTACGTAGTGCTATCGCGGGGTTTCAAGGCCAGGGAAAGGCGTGGTGTCGTCAACGGCACGATTAAGCGCGGACAGCTTTTATCTCGACTAACGGCAGGGGTCGAGAGGGTGACCCGAATGGCCGGGATTCTATCAAGGCACAAAGTTGATAGCGCCTTTGTTCTCGGACCATGCCGAACGTCCAGAGTGAGAACGGAATAGCGCGGTTTTGGCGGCAGTATTTCCCAGTCTCACGCCAAAGTGTATGTGCTGCCTGTAACGCCCCTCACTTCCATGTCGCGTGGTAATATGATCCGGACCCGGCATAGTACACACCTTTGACATTTATATGTGCCTGGCGGATATAATAGGCATTGATACTACAGTGGGGTGTAGTACAAGTTAACCCCTGTAAGTTTAGCCATAAATTACCTGGCAAGAATATTTAAGATTTATAGAGATTAAATATAAAGGTATTTTTACTAATAAATATACTTTTGATTTGCATTAATTGTTATAGGCTCGAGCTGGAAGCTCGGGCCTAAGCTGGGTCCTGAGTCCTGACTTGCTAGTAGAGGTTATAGCAAGTAACCGCTTTACTTTTTTTACATAATAAAGTAGATTTATAATATAGCAGAGTTCTTAAAGCTTTAATTGGTTAATAATAAAATACTCTTCAGCTATTAGTTAGTAAAAAAGCTGGGCTACAAGCCCTAGCCAGCTACACGCTTTAAAGGGGTCAACTAGCAGCTTTAACGAGCCTGAATTCGGCAGCAGTAAAAAGGGCCGGAATAATATTTCTTCCTGGCTATTACCGCTTTGCAGCTTTTACTTACGCTTAGGATAACTTAATTGTTGGTATTACCGTCTTGTAATTTTCTGTAAATTAGCTATACCCCCTTTTATTATGCTGCACCTGGCTAAATAGCCAGGGGTTATATTATATACATGGATATTTAATAGCCTTAAACCGTGTATATACCGTGCGCTGCCAGGTAGTGTGACATTAATAGTATAACTGCATTAACTATGCCTTTATAAAAGCTGAGACCTCAGCTCTAATTGCTACCTCCCTATTCTGCTCCCAGTAAACGTTAATCGCATTGACAAGGGGGAGTAGCAGGGTCCTGCTGTGAAATTAGTAGTATAACGGACCCGCTCGCGTAGTGTACAGTAGGTCGCCGGTAATTCCGAAAAACGCCTACTTTTATACTAAGACTTATATATTTTAAAGGCTTATAATTAAATTAAAAATAAGCTAAAAGTATAATTTTTAATAATTAAATATAATAATACTTAATATATATAAATATTATTAAATTATAATATTT